ATCAGTTTAATTACACACAAATCTATAGAAAAATCATGTGAGCACCACAAAAGCTCTTCCATGGCTTCTAGACGCAACTTTCAGTCTAAGCAAGAGTCAGAGGACCCTAGAGTAATTGTTTTTTCATTGTGGGCATTTTGGGAAGAGAGACAAAGTGGTCAAGACAAAATCTGTCTTCAGGGTCCTGAAGTGAGTTTAACATTTAAACAGAGAATCAAGAACATCCATGTCTAAACCATCCCAGCTGAGGGATGGTCCCACCCACTACTGATCCATCGTTGTCTGGGCTTCAGTTTCATCCTGTAAGGTGGTCTGACTAGCGGTTACAACTGTATGAAATCCATTTCTGGGAGAGAAGCTCCCCCTCTTCCTTCTCCCAGCATGTCCTTGCTGGGGTCATCCCCAGTTCCTTGGGGTGCATTGTTTCTATGGCCTGATAGTCAGATGGAAAGACACCAGTGTCTCTTGAGAACATTTCCCTTTCTACTGTGGGTCATCTTCTTGTGGCTTCCTGAGATGTCCTTGTGATTTTTTTTTTTTTTTTAGCGCTATGGTCAGGGCCGTTCCAGGAATGAGTTTCCACTAAATGTTTCTCATACCATTGTTTCACTTTGAAATAAAAGGCTATTTGATTCCCTCTTTTAAAGAGGGAAGGCACCATTATCATCTGCTGTCTGTGGAAACTTCACAACTCTCATTCGTGGAGCTACCACAGAATTGTTAAAGGCCCCAGCCAGTGCTTCATCAATACAGCAGAGTCAGTGACCCTCCTGCCTACAGGAAGAGAAGGGACAGTCCTGCTCATTGTTCCTATGAGAGTGAATGCTTGGCAGGACAGATTTAGCCTCTCTTGACTTGTAATCCATCATCAATTCCTGAATCTTTTCTTCCCATCATTACCTCTTCTACTTTCCTCCTGACCTTGGCCACCGTCAAGATGGTGGACATTTGAAACACTCATGTATGGCTGTCCAAAAGTTTTATACAGATAGGGGGCTAGGAACGTGGGCTTCCTGGTAGAAACATCTTTTGTGGAGCATAGAATTGGAAAAATAGAAGACACAGACTTTAGCCAGAAAATCTATTTGAGAAGAAAAAAATCACTACTGATCCCTGCACTAAAAATGACTGATAGAAAGGCTGTTCCCTCTTTTGCTCCTTTGTCCTTTGTTGTTTTGTTTTAACTGCAAGCGTTGAGCCAGTGAGATGATGTGGTAGTTTGAATGTAATTGGCGACCATAAGTTCATAGGGAGTGGCATTATTAGGAGGTGTGGCCTTGTTGAAGTAGGTATGGCCTTGTTGAAGTAGGTATGGCCTTGTTGGAAGAAGTGTGTCTCTGTGGGGGTGGGCTTTGAAGTCTCTTATGCTCAAGATACCACCCAGTGTCTCAGTTCACTTCCTGTTGCCTTTGGATAAAGATGTAGGAGTCAGCTTCAGCACCATGTCTGCCTGCATGCTGCCATGTCCCACCATGATAATGGACACTATAAGCCACCTCCAATTAAATGTTTTCCTTTATAAAAATTGTCATGGTCATGGTGTCTCTTCACAGTAATAGAAGCCCTATCTAAGACAGATGGCTTAGCCAGTGAAGGCACTTGCCTCCATGTCTAATGACCTGAGTTTGATCCCTAGGACCTACTTGGTGAAAGGAGAGAACCAAACCTTACAAGTTGTCCTTTAACCTCTACACGTGCCCCCAGGATATGCACATGTGCGTGTATACACATAGTTACATAAATGTAATAAATTTAAAATGTATCTGTTAAACACATACGCATGCTCCAAACGTCCCACCCCAACTTCTCTCTCAATGAATAGATCGTTAATACTGGCAGAAGCCGGGCAGTGGTGGCACACAACTTTAATCCCAGCACTCGGGAGGCAGAAGCAGGTGGATCTCTGAGTTCCAGGACAGCCTGGTCTACAAAGCTAGTTCTAGGACAGCCAGGGCTACACGGAGAATCTTGTCTCAAACAACAACAACAACAACAACAACAACAAAAACTGGTGGTAGCTTCCCAATTAACAGGAGATGTTGTTCAACGACACGTTTGTATAAAAAAATAGAAAGAGACTTTCTAGATTGCTGGCCTTAAAAGTCTGATGTTGTTGTTTAAGTTTGTCCTTCCTTTTGAAACAAATACTGTCTTCTGTGGTCACCACACTCACCCTGAATTGTGCCAAAATGTTGATAATCATGACACATACACAAAATGCAGTTTGCAATGAGCTTTGACGGTTCACCTGAGCTTTGCCTATCTACTTCCAGATAGGAAGGCTTGAGGATGTCCTCAAGGAGCCCCAGATCTTTGACTGGGGATGCCCAGCTCAGAGGTGCTGAGTCAGCACCTGTGAGGGATCGCCTGGCTTTGTGGTAACTCAGATGAAGTCAGCACCCAGTGGCTGAGCTCACACAGGTGTTAGCTAAGTGCTGAAAGGAGCCGCCGCATTCTCCTGAGTCATCTCTGTCAGTTCTGGAGGCATTATAATCTCGGCATTGGCAGGCGGTGATAAAGTGCTTTTGTTCCAAAGCTTTACAGAAATTACAGAGTATGTACGTGTGGGGGTTTATCTGTCCCTGAAATGATCAGATTTCATCATCCGTGCATTGTGTGCAGAATCCCTGCTGGCCTCTGTCACAAAGAGGGGAACCACGGTGAATTCTGGGATCCTTTCCCTACCATGAGCGAGGCCCTGTCTGTGGCTAGGCAGCTGACGAGGGAGCAATGGCAGCTGGTCCTTCCTTTCCCACCACCTCTCTTGGTAGATGGAGATTGGGCAGCTCAAGGGGGTGGCCAGCAGGGAGGGGGTCACCCAGCAGAGAAGAAGGGAATGTGGGAATGAAGGCTTGCAGGACTCCAATTCCAGACCACTCGAGCTGCTTTTTCAAATGCTGTTATGCAGAACACCCCAAAAATGGCTGTCAAAAGAGAGAGATGGTTAGCATGCAATTAGACAAGATCTTCTTCAGGGCTGGAGTTCCTCAGTGAGGAAATGGTATATCCACAGCCTCTCATGGAAGCTTCTGGTACAACTGACACCTCCTAGAAGCAACCCATTGAGTCACATCAAGGATAACATGGCCGGCAACAGAAAAGGGCCCATCTTCCCAGAGACTTTGTAAAGCTGTTGTTGTTGGTTTTTTTTTTTTTAAACTTCTTCCACTTCATAGAATGTTTATTTCCTGAGAACAGGGTTTTATTTGCAGAAAGTCATGTGAAGGATTTCCTCTTTTCTTTTTCCTGTGTTTTCAAATGAACTTTTCACACCACAGGCCTCTTTCATCTCCACCTCTGGCTCTCCAACTAGGAAAATAAAGTTGTCAAAGGTTCTGGGACATGAGATTGGGGACTCTATGTGGATATGTCACTAGCCAGCCTCTATGCATCAAAAGCACTTTCTAAGTTGGGGAAATCCTGAGCAGAAGCAAGATTCTTGATCCTTGGTCCTGCATATATATTATCTTTGGTGTCCAAACCACAACTAGCAATCAACTGAAAAAAAAAAAGTTAGATCTTTGGTAGCTGGCAAGGAATGTGCACAGGAGGAGAGTACTGACCTGAGTTTCCATGGGAAGAAGTACAGGATGTTCAATAATGTGCTTCCGAAAAGCCTTCCCCAGCTCTCTCTTCTTTACAGTAGCAACTCTTTTTTAAAAGATTTATTTTACATTCCAACCACAGTTTCACCTCTTTCCTCTCCTCCTAGTTCATCCCCCAACATTTCCCCTGCTCCCCTTATCCACTCCATCTCTATTTAGAAAAGGACAGACCTTCCATGGATACTGACAAAACATGGCATATCAAGTTACAGTAGCGACTCTTTTATATATAATATATATATATTTTTTTTTTTACTTATTTATATTTTACGTATGAGCGATCTGCATGTATACCGGCATGCCAGAAGTGGGCATCAGACCCTATTATAAATGTTTGTGAGCCACCATGTGGTTGGTGGGAATTGAACTCAGGACCGCTGGCAGCCAGTGCTCTTAACCGCTGAGCCATCTCTCTAGCCCCTACAGCAGCAACTCTTGAGGGTGGCACCCAAACCAAAACATCTGTGTGGCTTGGGCAGGTGGGACAGCAGCCTCAGGGAGATCCCACTTTTCCTTGCACACTTGAAAAAGAAAGAACGTGAAGCCAAGTGGTTAGGGAGATGGGGGAAACTGGGAGGAGTTGGGGGAGGGGGAAGACGAGGATCAAAACATATTATATGAAAAAATTCTGGTAAAAATAAAAGGAAGCTACTGGATGGGAGCAGTGGAGCCTGCCTCATTGGCCACCTTGCCGGAGCCTGGTTCCGGGGACTTTGGCCAACCTAGATAATAAACATGAGCACAAGTACATGACGCCAGCGCTCCATCGCTGAGACACCTCTGACCTTTATCAGTCCCAGCCAACACAGACACATGGCCTGGGTGAAGTTCCTAAGATGGCTTGGGTTTCGAGAAAAGCTATGTTTACAAAACACAGGACAGGCAGGTAGCACTGACTAGGGATCAATATGTGCGCGTGCCAAGGCGGCTGGGTTCCCGTCGCAGGCTGGGAGACACAGCCAGCCTTCTGCCTCAGATTGAGCACAGTTCCTGCCCTATTGTGGGGACAGGAAGACAGCAGGGCACCGACTGTACTGGAGTTTGATAAGAGGAAATGAAGCAGAGTGCACTGTGCCTCTGGGGAGAGCTCACAGAATATCCTGGTAGGTCAGTTGGTTGTAACCCGCCAGGTGAGGCATCGCCCCGAGTGCCCACTTCTTTAGCTGCTAAGTCAGGGAATTCAGCTGCAGCAAAGTTTCTTTCTTTCTCTTTCTTTCTTTCTTTCTTTCTTTCTTTCTTTCTTTCTTTCTTTCTTTCTTTCTTTCTCTCTCTCTCTCTCTCTCTCTCTCTCTCTCT